AGCTAAAACCCAGCTCTGGCTCTCACCCCGGGGGTGACCTTCCTGCCTCTGTGTTTGGTGTAGATGAGAAAGTGCGTTGGGGGGGTGAAACCCCTTGGGGCACTATGGATGAGGAGCTGGCTCAGCCCTGGAGGTAGGGGCCTTACGCAGACCCCTAGGGAAACAAAGGGGGTGGAGTTTGGGCCCAAACAACCTGTTTTCCTCCTTTTGCAGCCTGGGGCGGGTGGGGAGGTGGGGAGGCACCGTACTGTACAGTAATTGGCTAAATGATTAGTTTAGTTTAGCTAATCTGGTTTGTGGCTGTGATGAAAAGATAACGCTGAGCCGGGATTGTGAGCCGGCGCCTGATGAGAACGGGCTACTGGGACAGGGGCGGGCAAAGGAAGGCAGGGTCCCATTAGTCACTGCTCTCAGACCAAGCCCCCGCACCCCTGCTGCACCCTGCCCCACTGTTTGGGGTGTGTTGTGGGAACCTAGAAAGTGATGCTGGGGCGCTTGGCAGGGTGAGCAGCCCTTCCCTCCCTGGTGCCCTGGAGTGAGGGGTCTCCCCTACCGATGGCCCCCTAAGAACTGGCTGGAGTGGTGCCTTCCTGGCTGGAAGTTTGGGACCAGGGTTGGATGCAGTCCCGGCTCCGGGCCCCTCGCCTCCATGAGCCTCCCCAGGCAGTGGGGACCCAGGGTGGACGGAGACCTCGTGGGTACCAGGACTTTCATCTTGCTTGTCCCTCTGTCTCTGTGGGTGCCTACAGATGCAGGCACCCACAGACACCCACAGGGAACCGTGCTCTGGTGTCCTCCTGCTGCAGCCCAGGCGCAGCTTCTGGGAATGGAACCAAGCAAGAAAGAGCTCTGTCCTTTCGTGAGGGGCTGGTGGGCAGTGGGGACGGGCCTGGGCGCCTAGATCCCGGCCCCTCCACTCTGCAGCCCATGGCGTGGCGAGGCCCTGTGGGTGGCAGGGGAGGCGTGCAGAGGTCTTGCTGGGTCCAGCCAGGGTTCCTGGGCTTGTATCACACAAGAAGTGGCAGTTGGCAGCTTGGCTGGAGGTGGTGCCCAGATGCGGAGCCGCGGCCTGTGGAGGGAGAGGGTGGGAGTCAGCTTTAGGCCTGGGTTGTGCTGCTGACTGACGCTGAGGGAACTAGCTGTGATGTGCTGGGGTCCTGTGGGTGGCAGTAGGCTGCTGCTGGCCACGGCAGGGGTACTGGGAGCCAGGGGGTAGGGGACCCGAGGAAGGCTTCCTGACTGTTACAGAGATACTGTGCAGCCCAAACCCAAGATCCTCCTGCCTCAGCCTCCAGAGTGCCTGAACTAAACACCCAGCAGAGATAAGCAGCGGGACTGGTCCCTGCAGGCGACACCCTTGACCTCCCAGGCCTCTCCCAGGACAGGGCTGACTCTGGGTTGCTGTTGCTCCATTTCTCAGCAGCTCCCCTGGCTGCGCAGGGCGGCTCAGCCTTGGGGACCAGAAGCAGCGGCAGGCAGGACGGGCCCAGAGACAAGCAGACTGCTTGGTAGGCAGTGCCCCTTCCCTCGGTTGAAAGAGTTGATATCGTTGTAAAAATGCTGTAAAAAACAAAAAAGTGGGAGAAGAAAAGTTCACCTATAGCCCCAGGTTTGTAGGGAGCGTGCTCTTCTCTGTCCTCTACAGCCTCACCTGTGAGCTTACCTGCTGTACCTGTGAAGTTTTTCTCTACTTTTCTTTCTTTCTTGCTTTTTTGAGGTCTTGCTTTGTACCCCAGGCTGGCCTTGAACTCTTGATGATTTTTCCTGCCTCAGCCTCCTGAGTGCTGGGATCACAGGTGTGTGCCTCCAGGCCTAGCTCACCCCAAAATTTTAACGAAGCCTCCTTCCAAACAGGCCTGGTCTGGGTGGAGACTGGGCTGCAGTGCCACCCAGGAGAGGGGTGCTGCCCTTCCTGAGGCGCGGTGGGTGGCCCCTACCCAGGGCACTTCTGTCCCCTTGCCTGTCCCCTTGGTGTCCCCCTGTGTGTTGGCCCTGCTGCAGCCAGGAAGGGAGGGCCTGGCTCCGGAAGTGGCCTGTCCTCCTTGTCCCTGGTGTCTCTCAGGGTGACCCTTTTCCCCACAGAGGCCAGTGTCCTCCCTCAACCCCTAGTTTGCAGTGGGGACCGCTCCTGGAGCCGTAGCCTGAACCAGGGACAGGCGAGGGGGCGGTGACTGCCCCGACGCGCCTGTCCCGTCCCTGTCCTGGTCTGTTTGTATCAGGCTGGGGCCTGCTGGTGACTGGGGGCTGCTGTGCGGAGCACTGTGCCCTCACTGCCCACTGGCTTACTAGGCAGCACCCACCACACAGGGGCCCCAGGTGTCCCCAGCTCGGGGACAGTGGCCTGGGCCCGGGAGGTGGCTTCCTCTGAACTCCAGGGGTCACAGGAAGCCGCGGCCCTGGCTCAGCTGCTGCGGTGTCTGGAGTCGCTGGAGCCCTTTCCTGTCCAAGCTGGATTCTGGAGCACGCCGGGGTCGACCCGCAGCAGGCAGAGGGGCTTGGGCTTCACCTCACAGAGGAGGGGAACTGTGGCCCTGACGGCATCCTCTTGCCTCAGCGTGGCCCCCCACTCCTGCCCAGTTGCTTCCTGAATGCCTGGCTCTGGGATTTGTCTCTGGCAGCCCTTCCTGTCCCTGTTCCCAGGTGTCCCGCAGCCCGGCTGTGCCCATTTCTTTTATTATTATTATTATTTGCTGTGTAACCTTGCTGTGCAGCCCAGGCTGGCCTTGAACTCACAGCAATCCTCCTGCCTCGGCCTCCTGAGTGCTGGGATGACAGGTGGGCTCCACCACACCTGGCCATGGGCTTACTGCTAAAGGACAGGCTTGGCCTCAGGGTGCTGGTGCCGGGCCTGTGGGGTGTGCACCCACCAGGGCGAGGGCAGAGCCGTCCCAGACTTTCCCAGGGTGGACTGGGTCTTCCCCCTTCCTGTCAGTCTCCAAGCCGGCCTCCTCCGCCCCTGCTGCCAACAAGGCGCCCATTCAGGGAGGCCCCGCCTGTCCCTGTGCTAGTCTGTGGTGGGGAAGGGATGACAGCAGCCTGGGCGTGGCCCTCCACCCCCAGAGCTGGGGAGCCTGCTCCTTCTCCGGTTCTGGGAGCTGGGGGGCAGCGCCCATCCCACTGAGACTGAGGCAGGAAGAGCTCTGTGCGTCCCCTCTCCTGACGGATTTCCCACTGTCCACCTAAGGCCTTTGACCCTGACACCACCTGGGCCAGCTGCTCTGCAGACTGAGCTCAGGCAGGGGACTCGGCCACCCGAGGACGCCCAGTGCGGTGAGGCAGAGCTGGGACGGCACCCGGAGGGGCCTGTGTGCAGTGGGGCCGTCTCCACCAGGACCAAACCCTGGCCGAAATCGGGCCAGGCTCAACATGGAGACTCAGTTTTTCCACCTAGAAATTAGAGAGTAGAAGGCTTGCCTCACTGGGCATGGCAGTGCCTGCCTGTAATCCCAGCATTTTGGGAGGCTGAGGCAGGAAGATCACAAGTTCAAGCACAGCTCGGACAAGTTAGAGACCTGGTCTCAACATGAAAAGGTCTGGGGACACAGCTCAGCCTTGGTTGGAACCCCATTAGCTCTAAAATAAAAAGAAAATGCCTGCTAATGTGATTGAGATTAATTTTGTAATAAAGGCAGCTAGCTGTCTGCTCTGACTTTCAGCTGTGGCTGGCTGGACTCTGCTGGGACCGCTCAGCTCCCGAGTCCTGTCTCAGCTGTGGCCCCAGACTAAACCCAGAGCCTTGGAGCTCAGCTGCCTCCCAGCCCTTTTAAATATATATATATCTTTGACTTTGAGACAAGGTCTGGCTAAGTTGCCCAGGCTGGATTTGAACTTGCACTCCTCCTGCCTCCCTTTGTGTGGCACTGGGGTTGAACCCAGGGCCTTTGCGCTAAGCCACTGCCCAGCCCTTAGGTTTTTTGTTTTGAGTCAGGGTCTTGCCCAGTCACTAAACTGTCAAGACAGTGCACTCACTTGAGCTTGCAATCCTCCTGTCTCAGCCTCCCAGAGGGCCTTAACCAGGAGGCTCGTCCTTGGTCTTGGGGGAGCCCCATCCCCTCTGCCTTGTCTCTGTGGAGTGGGACCATTTCCGGTCAGCGTGGGGTGTGGCCAGGGCAGGAGATAGCCCAGCTTGACCACAGCCTGCCGCAATGAGGCCCCCACAGGGGCACTGGAGGGTCAGGGCGCCTGGGTGCACAGTGTCACCACGTCCTGGGCCTGGACGTGCGGTTTTTCTCCACTGTCCCCCAGGAGTAGTGGCTCTTGTGACCCTCTGGCTCCTCCCAAACTCTTCAATTCTCTCCTGGGACCCACCCCTGGGGCCAGGAGCCTGGCAGAGGAGCCTGCTGCCTTTGCCTCTGCCTGGTTTGCGCCTCTGGTCCCTCCCCGCCGCGGCTGCGCACTGGGTGCTTCTGGTCCTCGGCCTGAAACTCTGAGTCACTT